TTGGATCAGACACTAAGCTGCCGTGGATCAGGCCTGTGGTTTGGATCAGACACTAAGCTGCCGTGGATCAGGCCTGTGGTTTGGATCAGACACTAAGCTGCCGTGGATCAGGCCTGTGGTTTGGATCAGACACTATGCTGACATGGATCAGGCCTGTGGTTTGGATCAGACACTAAGCTGCCATGGATCAGGCCTGTGGTTTGGATCAGACACTAAGCTGCCATGGATCAGGCCTGTGGTTTGGATCAGACACTAAGCTGCCATGGATCAGGCCTGTGGTTTGGATCAGACACTAAGCTGCCATGGATCAGGCCTGTGGTTTGGATCAGACACTAAGCTGCCATGGATCAGGCCTGTGGTTTGGATCAGACACTAAGCTGCCATGGATCAGGCCTGTGGTTTGGATCAGACACTAAGCTGCCATGGATCAGGCCTGTGGTTTGGATCAGACACTAAGCTGCCATGGATCAGGCCTGTGGTTTGGATCAGACACTAAGCTGCCATGGATCAGGCCTGTGGTTTGGATCAGACACTAAGCTGCCATGGATCAGGCCTGAGGTTTGGATCAGACACTAAGCTGCCATGGATCAGGCCTGTGGTTTGAATCAGACACTAAGCTGGCGTGGATCAGGCCTGTGGTTTGGATCAGACACTAAGCTGCCGTGGATCAGGCCTGTGGTTTGGATCAGACACTAAGCTGCCGTGGATCAGGCCTGTGGTTTGGATCAGACACTAAGCTGCCGTGGATCAGGCCTGTGGTTTGGATCAGACACTAAGCTGCCGTGGATCAGGCCTGTGGTTTGGATCAGACACTAAGCTGCCGTGGATCAGGCCTGTGGTTTGGATCAGACACTAAGCTGCCGTGGATCAGGCCTGTGGTTTGGATCAGACACTAAGCTGCCGTGGATCAGGCCTGTGGTTTGGATCAGACACTAAGCTGCCGTGGATCAGGCCTGTGGTTTGGATCAGACACTAAGCTGCCGTGGATCAGGCCTGTGGTTTGGATCAGACACTAAGCTGCCGTGGATCAGGCCTGTGGTTTGGATCAGACACTAAGCTGCCATGGATCAGGCCTGTGGTTTGGATCAGACACTAAGCTGCCATGGATCAGGCCTGAGGTTTGGATCAGACACTAAGCTGCCATGGATCAGGCCTGTGGTTTGGATCAGACACTAAGCTGCCGTGGATCAGGCCTGTGGTTTGGATCAGACACTAAGCTGCCGTGGATCAGGCCTGTGGTTTGGATCAGACACTAAGCTGCCGTGGATCAGGCCTGTGGTTTGGATCAGACACTAAGCTGCCGTGGATCAGGCCTGTGGTTTGGATCAGACACTAAGCTGCCGTGGATCAGGCCTGTGGTTTGGATCAGACACTAAGCTGCCGTGGATCAGGCCTGTGGTTTGGATCAGACACTAAGCTGCCGTGGATCAGGCCTGTGGTTTGGATCAGACACTAAGCTGCCGTGGATCAGGCCTGTGGTTTGGATCAGACACTAAGCTGCCGTGGATCAGGCCTGTGGTTTGGATCAGACACTAAGCTGCCGTGGATCAGGCCTGTGGTTTGGATCAGACACTAAGCTGCCGTGGATCAGGCCTGTGGTTTGGATCAGACACTAAGCTGCCGTGGATCAGGCCTGTGGTTTGGATCAGACACTAAGCTGCCGTGGATCAGGCCTGTGGTTTGGATCAGACACTAAGCTGGCGTGGATCAGGCCTGTGGTTTGGATCAGACACTAAGCTGCCGTGGATCAGGCCTGTGGTTTGGATCAGACACTAAGCTGCCGTGGATCAGGCCTGTGGTTTGGATCAGACACTAAGCTGCCGTGGATCAGGCCTGTGGTTTGGATCAGACACTAAGCTGCCGTGGATCAGGCCTGTGGTTTGGATCAGACACTAAGCTGCCGTGGATCAGGCCTGTGGTTTGGATCAGACACTAAGCTGCCGTGGATCAGGCCTGTGGTTTGGATCAGACACTAAGCTGCCGTGGATCAGGCCTGTGGTTTGGATCAGACACTAAGCTGCCGTGGATCAGGCCTGTGGTTTGGATCAGACACTAAGCTGCCTTGGATCAGGCCTGTGGTTTGGATCAGACACTAAGCTGCTGTGGATCAGGCCTGTGCTTTGGATCAGGCCTGTGGTTTGGATCAGACACTTAGCTGCCGTGGATCAGGCCTGTAGTTTGGATAAGACACTAAGCTGCCGTGGATCAGGCCTGTGGTTTGGATCAGACACTTAGCTGCCTCGGATCAGGCCTGAGGTTTGGATCAGACACTAAGCTGCCGTGGATCAGGCCTGTGGTTTGGATCAGACACTAAGCTGCTGTGGATCAGGCCTGTGGTTTGGATCAGACACTAAGCTGTCGTGGATCAGGCCTGTGGTTTGGATCAGACACTAAGCTGCTGTGGATCAGGTCTGTGGTTTGGATCAGACACTTAGCTGCCATGGATCAGGCCTGAGGTTTGGATCAGACACACGACAACTCTGGGTAGAGATTGCAGTGGTATATTTAGAAAACGGAATATCAACAAAACAACGTGCTGGTTGTCAACAAAAAGGGAGTTTATCACAGTGAAGCAAAATGATAGGATAAAAAAACATACAAGTATTTTCATGAGAATTTTTTTAAATGATATTTTGCATGAAAAAAATAGACTGAAGAAAAAAATTGAATCCATACTGTAACATTTTCATTTTTGATTACTATCTCACAGCTATTTTTTATTCATAACAGAAAATCTGCTGTTTTACAAATCTGCACGATTAAAAAAAATATATACAGTTTTATGTGCTGAACTGATTCAATTTCTAATTGAGGAAACAATACATTTTCTCTATTGCTAAAACTATACATAAAGCAGAGTCATATAAAGCATATAGTCAGTAAGTTGCTAAAACAAATGTATTCATACACAATATATATATGATATATAGATCTATTGACTCTCTTGGCTGCAATGATGGGTATTGAAAAATGACAAAAATTGTGATTTCGCATATGCTTCTTATTTTAATAGAAACTTCATATAAATCCAGTTTTTATAGCATTGAACAAATTAATTTTTACACATAAAAAGCACAAAAATTGTAAAATACTTTGCATAAATTATCTCTGGATGCAATATTTATAAATCATTGAAGTTAAGTTTGAAGTAATCCAAAGGGCTTATTTGTAAAGATATATATACATAATATGTATATNGGAAACTTAACTGTTATATACACTGTATAGTTATACATGTAGGTCTTAGTAATTTAACACATCACGCAATGCTTGAAAGAGTACAGCGGTCACACTAATTTGCGCCATAGGAGATTTAGCGCCATAGGTGCGCCATAGGAGTTTTTGCACGCCATAGCAAAATGTGAGTGTTTTATCCACAAAATATTTCGATTTTTCCATTGGTATACTCATTTAACATGTTTTGGTAAAGTATCATTTAAAAAAAATGTGTACTTTGTTAGAAAATCGATCTTGATTACGAAGCACTTTTACACTAATTAGCGCCATACGTGTTTTTTCACGCCATAGCTAAATATGAGAATTATTTTCAGCAATTAACTGTGTTTTTCCTTTGGTATATGCAATATACAGGTTTTGGTAAAGTTTCATTCTTAAAAAATGTTTATTTTGTTAGTAAATCGACAAAATATTTCTTCGCGATTCACAAGTCAAAAATAAATTACAAAAACATTAAAGACAATGAAAATATTTATTAATTACACATGTACAATACAATTTATTTATGAGTACAAACATAAAATAATTTACACACAGCTCTGAAACAGAAAAAAATCTATTGAAGAAAATGGAGATATAGATTTTTGATTTAAAAATACAGTAGAGTTAAAAACCCACAAACGAAGACAGTGCCTAACCAAAAATTTAGAGACAAGAAATGGGACTGGGAGTATGCCGAGTCTAGTGTCTTACCTTGATGAGCTGCGTATTCTGATGATGAGGTAGCTAGTGTAGCACCAATATTTATACAGCCTAATATTTCAGTTAATTATACCAAGCTGTTTCAGGAAATAATAATTCTGTTCAAATATGTTAAAACATGCTAATTATGGATGTAAGTAGTTATCCCAAGCTGCTAGAGGAGATAATTGAGTACTGATTAAAGTAATTGGTGACTATTAGATAGACTGTGGATGTGGATAATGTATAACATTGTGTGCTGTGTAGATTTAGATGTATAATTGGTGAATTCAATAAAGATTATAATTGTGTTGTACAAATGTTATTAATTAATCTGTTCATTAAATAAAATTAATGTATATTTATAATATTTAAAAAATGTGTTATTCTCTTTAATGTTTCTGTGATTGATATTTAAGAAGATGTAATAAATAAACTGTTGTAAATAAATTCTAAAATTAATTTAAAATTTGTACTAGTCATGTCTTATTGATTGCTATGGCGTTTTTAGCAAATGTACGAGTTAATTCCCTTGAAATTGACTTATGAATATTTTGTCGATTTACTAACAAAATAAACATTTTTTAAGAATGAAACTTTACCAAAACCTGTATATTGCATATACCAAAGGAAAAACACAGTTAATTGCTGAAAATAATTCTTATATTTAGCTATGGCGTGAAAAAAACACGTATGGCGCTAATTAGTGTAAAAGTGCTTCGTAATCAAGATCGATTTTCTAACAAAGTGCACTTTTTTTTTAAATGATACTTTACCAAAACATGTTAAATGAGTATACCAATGGAAAAATCGAAATATTTAGTGGATACAACACTCACATTTTGCTATGGCGCGCAAAAACTCCTATGGCGCACCTATGGCGCTAAATCTCCTATGGCGCAAATTAGTGAGACCCGAGTACACAGTACCGATATTCCGATACATTTACAGTACAACCTGGCCCCGCCCTCACTAATGGCCGTGCCGTAAAACATATTAGAGGATATCGTCTACAACAGATTTCGTCTACAATGTATTCTAGAAAGAAGATGTATCACTCGAAATAAAGTAATGTCACCTACCTTTTCGTTATTAATTAAGTTGACATGTGCGCATAACGTTGCAATCCCGTTTATGCAGAACAGGATATTGTTTTTCGACGAAGGGGAGGTCATTCTACGGCAAGTATAAAGCGCCTCCATGAGTCTGAGTGGTGAGACGAAATGTCTAAGTAATGGAGTAAATGTCGGTTTGATATATCCGGAAAATATCAGACTTGTTGGATCATACTACAGAGACGTATTTATATCACAATATAATACATTGGTCATTTGATACAGAAACTTTACTGGTAATCTACGAAATTCAAAGTTCAATTTATATTCATATATATATCGAGTCTGATAACAGCGGCCTGTTCAATATCGGTTTAGCCAGAGACGTAGATATATACTTACAACCTTGTAACGTACAACCAAGTTACATTGAATTAAGGCCTATCCCGTGCATGTACATTTCCAAATATATATAATAAACACCTTTTTTTTTTATCATATCCTCTACATATTTTACCACGGGACTTCTACACAATACCAAATATATACTGTACAAGTACATGTAGGATACATCTATTTTAATTATGCATTGAGGGAAAGAGTGACCATACTTGATGGTGTATGCAGGTCTTGTAAAGTTATTTTGTTATTATAATCTAGGTTATTTGCTCTTCAATGTGCGGGGATCGACTCTCCGTGATGCAGATGCTTGTTTCAGCGCAAATATATTAATTTACTTTGGATATGTTGTTTTTTTACCTGACTTGGCCCAACGTTATGTCGTATTTAATTCATTGCTATATTATTAGTGCATACAAACTGAATCTCTTCCCCGTCGAAACTATAACAAATTACGTTGGTACTCTGTATCTTTTAGAATTGTTAAAATATCACGTCCTTTCTGATATGTTTTGTTTAAAATATTACACTTCAACGGCTTAGCAGCGAACTGCTTGTATTTGACCACACGCCAACGTAAAGGGTGGAGATCGGGGAATCATGGGAACTTTTGTTCACGTGACAACCCGGGCAGGCCAGGACTATCACACGTGACTTCATTTTATTTAAAATACAAGCATTTGAAAAAACATATCAAAAGTCCGACTGTGCGCTATAATCACGATGCGTACATTATAGATTTATAAAAATATTGAAATCCGTGAATCTGTCTGTTCAGTTAATTAACCTTAATTTAATGAATACCATTGCGTAGGGGAGATAGCATGCCGTAACGTACAACTTACGTTCGCAGGTGAATGTACACAACGAAAATGTTTCATCAAAACTTAATTAATTCAAGACTGTAACGACATTTCAGGTGAAGCACTAAAATAGAGCAGTGATGTTTGTGATTTCTCTCATATTTAAATGAGTAACTTCAATATTATAATTAGGTTTTACCGATGTTTTTTTCACAGCGGCAGGAGTACATAACAAATTGTGTAAATAGCGACGCTGATTGCAAGAAATCAATTAATAAATTAGGGCTTCCTATTTACCTTCCCTTCTGTTTCAACAGTAGTTTACATGTATTTAGATTTCCAACGTTTTGACCCCTAGAGTCACCGTGTTTATCCAAGTAGACTTTTCACGGCACTGCTAAAAACGCGATACCTCTGTACAATACAATTTTCATTGGATTAGTAGAATTAGGTTTGATAAGATGTAGAAGCCTGATGGCAGCCCTGTGACATGTGTTATACTATTGAACTGGACACATTTTATAATATTGAACAGACTGCTATCGGACTCGGTCATGCTTAACGTAAGGGCAGCACGTGCAATTTCAAACAAGCAGTGTCATTACTGCACACCATTTAAAAACCGTGTCTTTTAAAACTGATGATATTTGACTTTGTTCATACAATTTTGTGTATGTAATATCTTTAATTTATACACACACACGTACTATAAAACGTGTCACAATATTTCAAGACCGACTGGTCCCTTTGTCAAGCGTTGACTGAGTGAGTTATTGGTGTAACTTTTACCTTATACAAATACAACACTATGGCATGTCGGTGCAGCGTTATATTACATGTGTATACTGTATAACACTTTAACCATGTACTGTACAACATTATACCAGTACAGCATAGTATGATTGCTTACAGATGATGGTGATTCTGCATCTGGTGGCATCCTTGACTTGTCATTGTCACTGCTGTCATTCTAGTCGCGAAGCCTCATTTGACGTCATCAGGTGATGGCCAGCCCTCCTCAAATGTTTCGACCCTTAATCACTACATCCTCCGGCTGGTGGGTCAGTAGTGGTGGCCAAACCACTACGCGTCTATGTCGGCTTCCACACCGGCTCTTCTCGTTTGTGCCATAGCCACAGCTTCTCCCAATCGTCTGATGGCGGTAGCTCTTGCCCTCCCAGTGAGTCCTATCGACTGTAGTGTCCTCCACACTGACTGTGCGGGGAAACCTCTACAGCCAACCTCCACTGGAAAGAGCCATACTGTCCATCCTCTGCTCCTGTACTTTTCCATCAGCTCATCATACTTGGCTTTCTTCCTCTCGTGAGCTTCCTCGCCGCCTTCCTCCCATGGTACGGTGAGCTCTATGGCGATGAGGTGTCTGGATTGCTCTGTCCATATTACCATGTCAGGCCTCAGTGTTGTTTCCACTATTCCTGGAAATACAAGCTTCCTGTCGAGGTCAACATTCATCTCCCATGTTGGCGCCCGTTCCAAGATGGATAAAGTGCTTCGAGGCTTCACTGTGGCTTTCTCCCATGTAATATATATAGAACTTTATCGTACACCAACAACCTTGTAACGTACATGTAAACAAGTAACATTGAATTAAGGCCTATCCCGTGCATGTACATTTCCAAATATATATAATAAACACCTTTTTATCATATTCTCTACATATTTTACGACGGGACTTCTACACAATACCAAATATATACTGTACAAGTACACCTAAATCATGTACTGTACACCAATATACCAGTATTGTTTTGAGTGGAAAGTCGATGTCACATCGAGTACTCCATACCAGGAAGGCCTCATATCATGACTGAAATGACTGAACCCTTTTAATTCTTCGGCTGTTTCAGTTTTTTAACATATCTGTATTTTTGACTTTGAATACATGTCTAGGTTATTCAAACATTGTTGCACTCCTTTTCGGAAAAAAGTAACGATGCATCATGATTGTGAACCTCCTTGTTCCGTAGAAGAACCTGCATGAGTGTTGTAACAGTCGAATATCAATTAAGGTCACTTCTTTTCTCAGACTTTGTAATTCTCAATCAAGCTACAGGTATATACTGATTTTAGGCTTCTGTATTCGTCTGCATAAGCTGTTCGGGTATTTTAAAAGATTTGACACATATTAACTTGAACAAAAAGGGCAACATTATTTCTTTCCCCCTTCTCTTCAACACTCTATGTCAGCAAACGCATACTACTGGCCATATATAAATGTATAAATAAGCGAGTTCGAACGAATTTGTTTACATTTCGGTTTTACTGAATCGTGTTTACGCTTCGGTATTACTGTATCTTGTTTACACTACTGTATCTTGTTTATACTACTGTATCTTGTTTACACTACTGTATCTTGTTTACACTTCGGTATTACTGTATCTTGTTAACACTTCGGTATTACTGTATCGTGTTTACAGTTCGGTATTACTGTATCTTGTTTACACTACTGTGTCTTGTTTACACTTCCTTATTACTGTATCGTGTTTACACTTCGGTATTACTGTATCGTGTTTACACTTCGGTATTACTGTATCTTGTTTACACTTCGGTATTACTTTATCTTGTTTATACTTCGGTATTACTGTATCTTGTTTACACTACTGTATCTTGTTTACACTACAGAATCTTGTTTACACTTCGGTATTACTGTATCTTGTTTACGCTTCGGTATTACTGTATCTTGTTTACACTTCGGTATTACTTTATCTTGTTTATACTTCGGTATTACTGTATCTTGTTTACACTACTGTATCTTGTTTATACTACTGTATCTTGTTTATACTACTGTATCTAATTTAAACTACTGTATCTTGTTTACACTTCGGTATTACTGTATCTTGTTTACACT